ACGGCAACCATCCAACCGGGCACGACAGGCCTCGGCCTTCGCCTGCAGGACATCGGGCGTGGAGGCTTCGTCATGGATCAGGTAGGGACCTGGCGGCCGCAGAACGAGACGGGACGTTCACCAAGAAAAACAGGTGGTAGAATGGTGGAATGAGGATGTTACATATTTATTTGGGGATATACTTGATCATACCAGCTGAGTGAAGAAGTGAACCAACCACCAGTCGTTTTGGAGGGGAAATGGTCGAAAAGATAGGACATATTGTGGAAATACGGAGATAAACTGATGGAAATTCATGTGGTGGTTCATCCGAGGGAATTGTTTTTATAGGCTAGTTCCCTTCAGTTTTAAGTGGAGGATTGCCCTACTCAACAGCCGTTTACAACCAGGGTTACAAGATGTTATAAGTTATAGATTTTATAAGTTATAAGGTATTTACTAAATGGATCTAAATGGGACCACCAAGTATACAAGTCAATGGGGAATCGAGGCCTAGATTGCAAGGGGGTACCTTCAATGAGACGAGCTTGCAATCTGTTTTGCCGTAAAGAAAGGGCGTGTGTTCATTGTGGTTTCTTTGAAGAATGGTATGAATGGTACAGTGCCCTCTGGTAATTTAACTTAGTTCTGGAAAATCACCACTTTTACCAGGTAAATCATCTATCAATCGGCCATTTCCAATAGCTATGTCCAATTACTAGAGGGTACAATAATCCTAGCTACACCATTTGTCCATCAAGCGGATTTGGGGCACCCTATTCTCAAATCAACCCATATCTCAGTTAGAGCATCCAATTGTTTAGCGTCCATCCATCATGATCGCTTCGCCCATGAGTCCCACAGTTTGACAATTGGATCTGTTTGTTTTGGTGAAACAAACGGTAAATTTTAGATTGGGGGAAGGGATCACAATTCGCATGTCTTGTATTTTTTCCGCTAAATCAATCTATTGCGGAATCCCATTGGTGTAATCATATTAACTCCCCGAGTTTCGTCGGGTACCCCTAAATCCCATGACTTATCATCGTTGCCACCCCAAAATTGCCATTGTGTAGTATTCTTATTTTTTTCAGAAACCCAAATTGCATGTCGTTGGTTCTATCCGATCATTTATATATGTTCTCATGTTTACTGGTTAAATCAAGAAACATTAAACACTATCATTATTGGTACGAGATTGGTCCCATAATATCCCATTAAATCCCATCTTAATTCCCTGGTGCCCATGAAATCGGTTTCTGGTTAAGTTGGTTAGATCTCCCAAGTAAATCCCATATTAGTACTGAACCCAATTGTAATTCCATGTATATCCCAGAATAATTATCCCATGGTTACATGCTATGATGATGGTGATGATGATGATGATGATGATATCCCAAGTGTATCGCCATAGTTGGTGAAATCCCTACTTGGGAGTGCACTTGGGCTTGTTTATGGGGCAATTCTTGAGACAGCCATAGATTATCAATTGGGATATGGGGCCACTATAACTGACTATATAACTATGGTGAAATCATGTCTTGTGGAATCTATCCACTTAGTTCACTGGAACTGCACCACGTCCAAGTGTGGAAAAAGTCGATCGGCACCTGGTTGGCGCCGGTCCCTCAAGCGCCAATCCTCCTCCGTCCAGGCGCCAAACGGCATCCTACCGAAAAAGGTCGGATCCATCGGGGTGGAACGACAGAAAGCCAGCGATTTTCCAGGGCAAAAAATGTGAAGATTTGATCCACAAAGATGGGAGGCTCGAAATTCTGCAGAAATGGAAGTTTGTTTCACCAAAAATTGGGATTTGCCATATGTGTCAGAAGACGGTTAAACATCAAGCTGTGTGAAATGGTGCATCCCCAATTGCATGAGGATATCACTCTGTATGGGACCCACTATTGTAGGAGAAAAAGTGGGCGACGTAACTGGATACCAACCCAGCAAAATTAGATGAAAACTCACCCAGGTTTTGAGCCACCCGAGGCCCCAAAATATGAACGCCAATAGGGAGAATCATTTCATCTGTTTGGTAGGAAAGCCCGGACATATTCAAAGCCGCCAGCCACATCTTATACTTGCGTGTTTGTCATTTTCTGCAAGGATCAGCCAAAAACAGCAGAAAATATGTGTGCACGACATTCATCCATGTTGCTCTGCAAGTGAATACCGAAAATTACACTCCAAACTCTAAAATCATCTAAAATCTCAGGGCCAATACAGAATCTTTGAAGAAACTGTGTTTGAGTCATTTTGAACCAACCGTGCCATATCCCAAGCCCTAAACTTCGGAAATCGCCCTCGCCACGTTCCAAGATTCGGACTTCGAAGCCCGGCGCCCCGAGACATGGCACTCCAGCTGGATGGCAATGGCAGTGATGTGATGGACCACAGAACAAATCGCCAGTTCCGAGACTTTTGTTGGGGATGATTCTTAGGGTTATGGTCTGGTCTGGTGATGATTGTGGTGATTGTGATGATTGTGGTGATTGTGATGATGATTATATACTTCAAATAGATTCAAATCGGATGTTTTCAGGTTTCATCGGAGATTGCAAGATATTTCAAGTATACTCAAAATCAAAATTCCATGTTCAAAAGTACGATTCAACGTTTAGCTTTGTGGTTAGCTTTCAATGTACGAGTATATCAAAGTTGTTTGCACTCTGCACTGTATCAAAGTTTCCGCCATGCTCTCGTCAACCAGCTACAGCTACTGTTGCGTGCTGACCCCTGTGGAAGTTTGGTCCAATTTATTGATTGATTGGTTGGTCCGCAAAAGTTGTCCTTCACATGTTTGAACCAATTTAATCTTGGGCATGCATCCACACAATCTTGTGAATTGCCGAAACGCCCAATATTGCACATAAAATCACATAAAGATTGAACGGTGTTGCACTGCACACCTACAGAAGAACAAAACCACCGCGCTGAGGAAAAAAATGCCCAAACTCTCTTGGCGTCAATCTTTGACACTCTACAATTTCAGCCCGGAAGTGGATGCAAGTGTGAAATCATGCCGTACTATAGCGTCAGCAAACTAAGTGAAACCACGAGTTCATCAAAATTCATCCAGTAGGATCCAGTAGGCAAACCTGATGGAAAATCACCCATTTGTATCCATTTGTATGTTATCCCAGCTATAAACCTCCATTTTGGATGGGGATTTCTCAGCTGTCCATGGCCATGATGACCGAAGTGTCGCCACACCATGCCACATCGCTGGACTTTCACCAGCCCCCGATGGCTCCCTTTTTTTTGGTGCCACGATCACAGCGGTGTCATATCCCTGGCTTGCGCGGAACACGCAGCGGGAACATGAGGCAGCCAGTAATCAGTAATCAGTAAGCTCGAAATACCCAATGATCTCAGTTTAGAAAATACACGCTCCTCAAAGCCTCAAAACATATCCGAAACACTCCTCGACCATATCCAAACTGGCTCCTGAAACTGACTCTTGTGCCGCATGAGAGCTGTGGGAGTTTGGAGGATCATCCCACGGATCAGAACTGGATTGAAACCACTCGACCATCAAATCAGCCATCACCGAGGTTGGACCCCATCATACCGCGCCCAAGCCAGCCTGAGACTTCACAATCTGCCACTACCTGCGGTCGGAGAAATACCTGGCACAGGTGGGAAGACTGACAAAACCACAACTAGAACCTTTGACTTGAGAACTTGTCAAATTTGTCAACCGGCAAAGTACGGGGTGTGAACGGAAAAAAACCTCTGAGACCAACAACCAGAGATGCCGGAAACCAACTGGGTGGCGAGCTGCTGGACGCAGGAGGCAGCGTGCTTACGGCAACGGCACGGCACGGCATGCCCGGTTTTTGGAGCTGTGACTGCGTCTGCTTGCGCGTTTCTTGTACGGTTTCAATGTTCGAGAGAAAAGTTCAATGCTTGGATGAGCGCTGCTTTATTGTGAAAGCAGGAACACTATCCATACTATTCTAGAACATTCAAGATATTCATCCTGGCACCTAGGATTTGCCATCGATTATGACCATCGTCAACATAGTGAATTTAGATGAATTTGGATGAATTTGGAACGAAGGATGACCGAATGAGTCGGATCAAAAAACATGGAAAAACTATGAAAATATGACTGACTACAGTAGCTGGATGCTTTATGTCTGGATGTAAGAACCACAGAATGGGGGAGCCAGCGAGACTTGGCAACGACAGCACACAGATTACTGCAACACTGGAGTTCATAGCAGCTACCATCTTGATCTGCAAGCACGTGAGAGTATGCAAACATTGGTTTTCCACATCTTTTGACTACATTATACTACATTTACATACTCCAAAGATCTCCAAAGTATCGAAGCTAGAGCGTACCATGAGATTGAATCTGTCACATGGTGAGGTGTGAATGGATTGTGAATGGGTTGGCCATTGATTCTATATGCCCATGATCCAGAAGTTCTCCTGGCTTGAAGTTGGTGCTTCCTCCCAGATCCACTGATTTCTTCATCATACCCTGAGACCAGCTCGATGTGAATACTTCTGAGATTTGTTGTGTAAGGTGTGAATCGTTCGGCTTCTGGAATGTTGGGATTTGGTACAGTATGATCAATGTATGGCCCGAGACTTCAGAGCTGCCTTCAGAGACACAATTTTGATTCGCAGTTGCATGGGACTGTCTCCAGTCCTCCACACATTGAGTGCTCTCTATCATACTTCTGCATGGCTCCGGACAGCATCGTGTGTGAGAGCCGGAGCGTGTGAGACCTGTCTTCTCCTGTCCAATGATAGCAACTCCAGGTTTCGGATAATTCCAGCGCAGCAACCTGCAGGCTGAATCTGAAGGACCCTAGTTGATTAATCGCTGATTCATCCAAATTCTGGAAGCCTTGCATTTCTGCATCAAGCCTTTCGTGCAGGAAAAAGAAACTCAGCAAATCCATCAAAACATTCAGAAATAGAGAGACCTGCTCAATCACCTCCGAGGGTCCATCTCGGCCTAAAAAGGGGATCCATGGCCTCACCCCAGAGCTTTCCCGGCCTCACCACTCCTCCTCCTCCTCCTCCTCCTCCTCCCAGGAACACGTCAAGGGAACGCCCTTCCTGTTTCGCTCCTCTATCGCCTCCGTCAGGGCCTGGTTTGGTTGACGAATCAGTCGCCAGCGGACAGCAGAATGCAGCAGATTGGACAACTCTCGATCCGAGAACAATGAAACTCCAGCACCTCCAAACCATCCAAACTTCTCACTGTCACAGGCTGTCGAAAATATGACAGCATGACACCACAGCATTCAGCGATTCTGCGGAGCCCACCACACACACCAGGCCTTGGCCCCCTCGTCGCCAATCTGGTTTTTATACAAAAGGATCTCCGTAACGCACTTGTTGATTTTAAGCGCCTCGGCCAAGGCCTGGAGGCAGAGATAGATCAAGGCTGGCTGGCATCTCGTTCGTGGTTCTACCGTCAAAACCTGATTTCTGAAATCCCGCGAACAATTGACATTCAACTGAGACATGTCGAATCTCTCTGATTCAAAACCTGGAAAAACGACCCAGAAATCCACGGTTTCATTCAGCATCTACATACAGTATGACATACAGCTGGATTGGGAGTATTTGACAACTCAACTCGATCCGAGATGAACGATGAAACTACAGCACCTCCAAACCAGCCAAACTTCTCACCGTCAAAGGATGTCGAAAACATTACATCATGACATGCTGCAGCATTCAGCCGAGCCCACCACACACCAGGCCTTGGCGCCCTCGTCGCCAATCTGGTTGTTGTCCAAATCGATGTTTGCAACAGAGGCGTTTATCTTCAGTGCCTCGGCCAAGGCCTGGAGGCAGCGACAGATTAAGGTTGGCATCTCGTTCGTGGTTTCTACCATCAAAACCTGATCACTGAAATCCCACGAACAATTCACATTCAACTGAGACATATCGAATCTCTCTGATTCTAAACTTGGAAAAAACATCCAGAAATCCACAGTTTCATTCAGCATCTACATACAGCTGGATCGGGAGTCTTTGACAACTCCACTCGGTCCGACATGAACGATGAAACTAGAGCACCTCCAAACCATACAAACTTCTCACTGTCAAAGGATGTCGAAAACATGACATCATGACATGCCACAGCATTCAGCGATTCTGCGGAGCCCACCACACACCAGGCCTTGGTGCCCTCGTCGCCAATCTGGTTGTTGTACAAAAGGATGTTCGTGACGGACCCGTTTATCTTCAGTGCCTCGGCCAAGGCCTGGAGGCAGCGACAGATTAAGGTTGGCATCTCGTTCGTGGTGTCTACCGTCAAAACCTGATCACTGAAATCCCACGAACAATTCACATTCAACTGAGAGATATCGAATCTCTCTGATTCAAAACTTGGAAAAACAATCCCAATTCAGCATCTACATATTTGCTGACAACTCAACTCGATCAGAGATGAATGATGAAACTACAGCACCTCCAAACCGTCACTGTCACTGTCACAGGATGTCCGGGACATGACATCTTCCATCAAATCGCCGCAGCATTCTGCGGAGCCCGCCACACACCAGGCCTTGGCGCCCTCGGCACCAATCTGGTTCCCTCCCAAATTGATGTTCGTGATGGACTTGTTGATTTTAAGTGCCTCAGCCAAGGCCTGTATGCAGTGAGTTGGCGTTTAGATTTTAAGGGCCCTACAGACAAAACCTGATTTCTGAAATGCTTAAAAAAAGATAAAATAAAAAAAAAGGACATTCAACTTAGACATGTCCAATCTCTCTGATTCAAAACTTGGAAAAACGACCCAGAAATCCACGGTTTCATTCAGCATCTCCATACAGCTGGATTGGGAGTATTTGACAACTCAACTCGATCCGAGATGAACGATGAAACTACAACACCTCCAAACCATCCAAACTTCTCACTGTCAAAGGATGTCGAAAATATGACAGCATGACATGCCGCAGCATTCAGCGATTCTGCGGAGCCCACCACACACCAGGCCTTGGCCCCCTCGTCGCCAATCTGGTTTTCATACAAAAGGATCTCCGTAACGCACTTGTTGATTTTAAGCGCCTCGGCCAAGGCCTAGAGGCAGAGATAGATCAAGGCTGGCTGGCATCTCGTTCGTGGTTCTACCGTCAAAACCTGATCACTGAAATCCCACGAACAATTCACATTCAACTGAGAGATATCGAATCTCTCTGATTCAAAACTTGGAAAAACAATCCCCATTCAGCATCTACATATTTGCTGACAACTCAACTCGATCAGAGATGAATGATGAAACTACAGCACCTCCAAACCGTCACTGTCACTGTCACAGGATGTCCGGGACATGACATCTTCCATCAAATCGCCGCAGCATTCTGCGGAGCCCGCCACACACCAGGCCTTGGCGCCCTCGGCACCAATCTGGTTCCCTCCCAACTTGATGTTCGTGATGGACTTGTTGATTTTGAGTGCCTCAGCCAAGGCCTGGAGGCAGCAACAGATCAAGGCTGGCATCTTGTTCGTGGTTCTACCGTCAAAACCTGATTTCTGAAATGCTCAGAAAAAAAGGACATTCAACTGAGACATGTCCAATCTCTCTGAATTGAAACCTGAAAAAACAATCCAGAAATCCACCGTTTTATTCAGCATCTACACTTTAATTTGCTGACAACTCAACTCGATCAAAGATGAACGATGAAACTACAGCACCTCCAAACTTCAAACTTGTCACTGTCACAGGATGTCCGGGACATGACATCTTCCATCAAATCACCGCAGCATTCAGTGGAGCCCACCACACACCAGGCCTTGGCGCCCTCGGCACCAATCTCGTTGTAGATCAAATTGATGTTTGCGACAGACGCGTTTATCTTCAGCACCTCGGCCAAGGCCTGGAGGCAGCGACAGGTCAAGGTTGGCGTCTTGTTCGAGGGCCCTTCGGACAACACCTGATTTCTGAAATGCTCAAAAAAAGGACATTCAACTGAGACATGTCGAATCTGTCTGATTCAAAACTTGAAAAAACAATCCCCATTCAGCATCTACATTTGCTGACAACTCAACTCGATCAAAGATGAACGATGAAACTACAGCACCTCCAAACTTCAAACTTGTCACTGTCACAGGATGTCCGGGACATGACATCTTCCATCAAATCGCCGCAGCATTCAGTGGAGCCCACCACACACCAGGCCTTGGCGCCCTCGTCGCCAATGTCGTTGCATCCCAAATGGATGTTCGTGACGGACGACTTTATCTTCAGCGCCTCGGCCAAGGCCTGGATCAAGACTTTCAGTCAAAAGGCAGTGTGAATTGAAACCTGGCCATAGCCTTTTAAAGTGGAAAGAACTTAACCTGTATGTGATTAAGGGCATGCACATTTTCACGCATGAGCGCGATCCGTGTACATAGACACTTGAATTAAAAACTGTCGCCATTGTCACGGGAAACGGGCCTGGAGACGGACTGGAGTTTCGAAAGGAGTTCTGCGCGTGTGCCTGTCACTCTCTTCCTGCCAACATGTGCTAAGGGCATGCCATGGGGAAAGCGGGTCGGACCAAAGTGTCTGTAAAAACTGTCCGCCGTGCCTGCCAGCCTTCAACGGTTTGCAGCACAAAATCAAACACATTGATCACACATTGATCAGAAAACATGGAGCCTTCAAAGGAAACATGTGAGACACCCTGGAGTCACCCTGAAGGAATCACATCCTCTGCTGAAGCGACCTCTTATTGAATTCAGAAAATCTTTATATCAGTCTGTTATATTGAACTCTGGAATGGTTCTCTGCAGCAAGATTTCCTGGAATTAACTGCGGATGTGATTCCTGTTGTAAAAATGCCTAGATTTGATCAAAACATAGCAAAAGGAAATGCATCTCCAGCTCATTCTACATCAAACGGAAATTCGGAAATGTAATCTAACTGCAAATGGATGAAGATAATTATATGATATCCCAGATCAATTGGTAGAGGAGGTCTCCTCCGGATTCCTAAGGATGAAGAACCTGGATTCAATTTGCCTGGATGCTGCTTTAATTCATTGACCAGGAGCATGTCTATTCACTCACGTCAAAAGAGAAAACAATGAGGCTGCAATGCTACGTCTGACTGTCAAAAAATGACATCAATACATGCCGCAGCATTCAGCGAGTATTCTGTAAAGCCCACCACACACCAGGCCTTGTCACCCTCAGCGCCAATCTGGTTGGTATTGCAAAGCGATATTCGTCATGGACTTGTTGATCTGCAGTGCCTCGGTCAAAGCCTGGAGGCAGCGACATATCAAGGTCGGCGTCTTGCTCGAGGGCTCCATGGTCAAAACAAAATGACATTTCACTGAGACATGTCAATCTCTCTGATTCAAGACTTGGCAAACAATCCAGAAATCAACAGTTGCTTACAGCCTCTACATATTTGACAACCTTTCTCGATCAGAGATGAACGATGAAACTACAGCACCTCCAAAGAGACAAAACTTCTTTCTGTCAAAGAATGTCGAGGACATGATATGAATACATGTCGCAGCATTCAACGGAGACAACCGCACACCAGGCCTTGGCACCCTGGGGACCAATGTCGTTGCCTTCCCAGTCGATGTTCATGACGGACTTATTGATCTGCAGTGCCTCGGCCAAGGCCTGGAGGCGGCGACAGATCAAGGTTGGCGTCTAGATTTTAAGCGCCCTACAGACAAAACCTTAGATCTGTTTAATTTAACTAAGACCTGCAAATCTCTCTGATTGAACCCTTGCAAAAACAATCCAGAAATCAACAGTTGCTTGCAGCATCTACATATTTGACAACTAGCCTTGAACAGAGATGAATGATGAAACTACAGCACCTGCAAACCATCCAAACTTCTCACTGTAAGAGGATCTCGAAAACATGACATCATGACATGCAGCAGCATTCAGCGATTCAGCGGAGCCCATCCCACACACCAGGCCTTGGCACCCTCAGCGCCAATCTTGTTTTCTCGCAAATCGATGTTCGCGACGGACGAGTTTGTCTTCAGCGCCTCGGCCAAGGCCTGGAAACAGAGACAGATCAAGGCTGGCGTCTTCATCCAGGGCTCTACCGTTCAAATCGTGATCACTGAAATCCGGAGAACACATGACATTTAACTCTGACATGTGAATCTCTCTGATACAGAACTTAGCAAACAATGCAGAAAGCGACAGATGCTTACAGCATCTACATATTTGACACCTTTCCTTGCGATGAAAGATGAATGATGAAACTACAGCACCTCCAAACCATCCAAACTTGTCACTGTCACAGGATGCCGGGAAAGTATGGGAAAGTGACATCATGACATGCCGCAGCATTCAGCGATTCAGAAGAGCCCATCCCACACACCAGGCCTTGGCGCCCTCGTCGCCAATCTTGTTGACTGTCAAATTGATGTTCGTGACGGGCCCGTTTATCTTCAGCGCCTCGGCCAAGGCCTGGAAACGGAGACAGAGCAAGGCTGGCGTCTTCATCCAGGGCTCTACCGTTCAAATCGTGATCACTGAAATCCGGAGAACACATGACATTTAACTCTGACATGTGAATCTCTCTGATACAGAACTTAGCAAACAATGCAGAAAGCGACAGTTGCTGACAGCATCTACATATTTGACAACTCTCCTTGCGATGAAAGATGAATGATGAAACTACAGGACCTCCAAACCATCCAAACTTGTCACGGTCAA